CCTCTCCTCTCCTCTCCTCTCCTCTCCTCTCCTCTCCTCTCCTTTCCTTTCCTTTCCTTTCCTTTCCTTTCCTTTCCTTTCCTTTCCTTTCCTTTCCTTTCCTTTTTTTGCTTTCTTGCACCTTTTATTCTCTAATTTTCTTTTTCTTTTTAGCTTTATTATCTTTTACTATTGTAGTTAAAACTTTTAATAAAAATATTATTTAAAAAAAGATAATGGGAATTAGAAAATAATGTGTTTGTGTGTCACACATAATCATGGCATGTAATCATTGTTTTTGGTAGGTTAATTGGCCAACCTGTTCTGTGTTCAGCTTAACAGTTGGAAAGGATTGCATATCACACAGAAAAGCTGAGCCAGTGGCTATTTTTGATCTGTATGCATCAGGTTTATACCCCACCTTTTGTTTGTCACTTAATCATAGGTGCCTTGTGTGGTTAGTGACTTCAAAAGCTCTTTGGGGACCTGTTTAATTTACTCTCAATTGTGATACAGATGCTGGGAAGATTTATAACCCATGTCCAAGGTCAACTCAAGTTAAATATTAAGGCTTTGGGTTTTCTCTTCTCTAGCAAATATGTAGTTACTCCACTCCAGTTTATGATATTATCCTTGCTTTCCCCAGCTATAAAAGGAGGTAGGACAAGTATCTCTTTTTGTTGCACAATTTAACCTTCTGTTGCCCAGTGAACCCAATTTTCTTAATGTACGTGACACTCTGTGGCATAAACCTAAGAAAAGGTATTGGGCTCATGCAATACCCTCAGTTAAAAGAAGATGATGTGATATTTTATTGCCATGCAGATTCATACCAAATACCCATGTAAGCTGCCTTGTTTGTTAAAATCTGCTGCAAGATGAAGATGGCAGAGCTGTTGTCACTTTTAGCAACATATAGTGTCATCCAACCATCATTGTGCCATTATAACAGTAATAAAGATAGGCTTTATATTGCCACAATAGTGGTTGAGTAATGCTAGTGAGAAAATGGCTGATTGTTTGAAATTGCCTGAATGTAATAGAGTTTATAACACTGAGCTCCTTTTGATAGTTAATACTGAATAATGGCATTTGCATTGAGAATCCTTATCTTGCTATGTCTGTTACCTAACAGTTTGTGTTAGTGAGTAGCTAGTTTGCACAGACTCATTTGCATTGCACAAATATTATTTAGTTCCCTCTAAATGCTAGAATTTTGAACTAACACAGTATTTAGGTTAGCAAAGAAAACCAACTTCTTCCTCAGTTGTGCTTACAGTATTTTGACCATCTATGAGGTGTAGCTGTCAAGAAATAGACCTTACTGACCGAGCCACTTGCTTAATGTACTTCGAGTTAAGTTCTACTCCTATAGAAATCTATGCAACAGTTTAAAAGGAAAGTGAGAACCTGAGTGCACCATAGTAATTTAGCATCCAATGAGGGATTCTGAATCCATAAACATGAATTGCCAAAGTTGGGATATATCCCACACTCACATTTAGTATAGGAATATACACTTTTATGCACAAGCCTGTGGTTTACAAAGGCTTTTGTTAAATGAAATGCTTGTGTAAATTAGTGCAATGGTTGTCATCAATCTTCCTGCTAAAAATCTTCCTGCTTTTAGTTCACTTGTTTCTGAGTAAATGTTCATTAAGCGGGTTTAATTAAAACAGGTACCAGTTCTTTTTTTTTAATCACTTAAATACATTCAGTACAAAATGCTCTTATTTTACCAGTGCTTCCAGTGCAAAATGCCTTCCACAGGTGTCACAAGGAAGCAAGTTTGGTGCGCCAACCTCTGTGTGGAACAGTAACAATGATTATTTATTCACTTAATAAATCTCAAAAGCATAAGCAATTTTCATACATCTCTGTAAATATACTCTTAACCATTCTTCCTCAGGCTAATGGAAATAGGAGAGATTAATTCTGAATAATATGTAGTATCCAGAACTTATCTGCTATGAAGCAGTTACTGAATAGTATACACTAGCTGAGATTAACTTAGCATTTAATGGATAGGGCTACATCATTGATAAGATGTACATAGCAGTCCTATGCATATTTACTCAGAAGAAAGCACCAGTGCTCAATGAAACTTAATTCTAAATAGGTGCACACAGGATTGTCCACTCAGACTGAATACAATCACTTAACTATTGTATATGAATTGCATTGCAAGAACAGTCAGTTTTATATTTCTTGGGTTATATGTCTATAGCTTTAAAAAGGAAAAAAAATGTTCTTGTCTTGTATCTTCTGCCTCCATTATGTTTCTTAATGTTACTTTGAGGCAGAGGTTCAGACAGAGTTTTAATGAAAATCCTCAAAAGGTCAAGATAAGAACTGACAGAATAGATGGCATCATCTTTCATGGGCTATTTCAGGAATTTACTTTCAATGTGCAAATTTCTTTGAACACAGATGCCTTAAACAGAAAACGTTGCAGCAAGCCAGTTACATATTTATTTTTATTGCTTTTAGAAGGACTGTAAAGAGGCCTAGCAAGAAATGTTGCTCATGAGATAGCATCTGTTAGGAAGAGGTGTCTCCGTATTGAATAAAGTAAATGTTTCTTTAAATGACAACAAATAGGTATTCTGAAACATTTATTTGAAGTATTTTATCCCATATTTTAATTCAATACTCTCAAGGTACAGTAGTTTACAAAAATAATTAGTTTGCAGGGCTATTTAAAAGCTGTTTAGAGATCCATCTGAAATTATCAGAGTATGAAAGAGCACACTAAAGCGTAATGTAATTTATTTGGTTTCTGGCTTAGCCGCTGTGCTTTATTCAAAAACGATCAGTTGAATAAACCAGGACTTATCATTTGCAAACTTGGGTAATGTCAGTGCATTTGTATTAATGTATCATGGCTAGATAGTCCTTGCAATAGACGGTTATATACAAGACCCTTCTTTTTCACTTAAGTATAGTTAACTATCATGGTCCTGATGGAATATAGGGCATGTTATAAGAGTAAATTAAACACTCTTAATTGTGCAATGGTATTCTGATTCTTTACATTCTATGCTGAACTTAAACTATTTCTTTGGTGCCAAAAATCAAGAGTATAAAGGAAGCAATTAGGCTTGTCCCTCTTCTAAAGAACCAGGAAAATATCCAGGAAAAAAAGAAAACACGTCAGATGGCTACTAAACTGTCAGACAGATCTTTCAAGCAGGTTAAGCCATTGCATGGGATTTATTATAGGATAGTAATTGAATAAAGGATACTGATACTTCTAAACACAAGTCATGCAAATATACCAGTCTGAAATGCTTTTACTGTACTTAAAAAAAGTGACAAATTGTTTCACTGTGATAAAATAGCTGTTTTGTGGGATATTTCATACCTGTGGCATATGCTTTGTTTCCAGGATCCAAACTCATTTCATAGTGCAGTGATTTCAGATTCTCTTTAATATTTTTTCAGGGACACAGATGTACCTGATAGCTTACTTTCAGTTGTCTAGTTCCCTCACTTGCAGGAGTCCAAGTGAAATGTCATTGGCTGACAGATTAAACAATTATGACACATACAGCTCATGTGTAGTGATGCACATGGAAACACTAAGGATAAAGTGATCTAAATATGCCTACTTCAGCTGCCAGTATCTTTCCTTATAACACATTATAAACATATGCTGGGATGACACATAATAACCAGATTGTGAATAAATTATAAATTTCTGGTTTATGTATAATACTAAATGGATGTGTTTACACATTGCATTAAGTTTTCAGCTTTCCAGAAGAATCTGACTGGTACTGGAAGCGGTGCTGAAGTATATGGAACCTTAAGGCAGTTTCAAAGCGGTTATTAAGGAGCTGTGTCAAAAGCAGATCCCATTAATATGAAATTTTACAGATTACTGTAAAAGCCAGTTTCTCAATCTTAAACTCAACTTCTGCCATCTAAGCGCAGTAATTTTCCTTGAATCTCTCTCCTGTATACAGCAACCAAGAAGTATAAAATTGAATTAATTTTATTATAATGAAAGGTGACAGAAGAATTTGAAAAGGTGTTTTATTATCGCTGTGGAAATTTCAATTCAACTGAAGTCAATAAATATATATTATCCCTTCTGCAGTAGAAGAAATATATTACACTGATTTGATTGTTGTAGTAACCAAAAAACGTTCACATATAAGTAAACGCTGGAAATGGTTAGATATGCATTTAAGAACAACTCATTGCATTATTTTTAAACTTCTGATGTGTTAAATTAGAAGTATTTTTTCCAGTTAGCAACCAGAAGCGGCTGCAGTCCTTAACAAGAAGCAGTTCTTCCATTACGTCAGCCTGAGCCCTTGTATATTCTGTTTCAAGTTCAGCAGCTCTTTCTCTTGTCTTGTCTTCTCTTGCTTGAAGGCCAATTTGTTTGCTTTCTTTTCCACCCTGCGTTCCTAATGGACAAATGATTTGCAATATTAATATATCACTTTATGAAAATGTTCTAAAAGCAATCTGTTTAATAAGAAACCAATTCAAGTGTTCTAACATGTACTAAAATTTCCTGTATAATTCTATCTAGATCATTTCCTGAATTTTATAGGCAGCATTGCAGATACAATTTCAGCAATATCTGTCTCAGAGCTCTTGGCAGAAGAGACTTAATGCACTGAAAAGATGTCTAATTTTTCAGATGTTAATAATTCCCTTCTTATTACTTATTAAAGCAGGGCACATACATTCAGTTTTTCTTTTCACTGTTTACGTGTTTGCATTAACAGTAAACCAGGAGTTTTCTTCCACTCTGCATAGCGTGTGCCATTTAAAGAGTGGTCCATGCTCTAATTAGAACAACATGAACCCCTTTCCAAATCATTCCACCCATATCTTGCCTAAGAAGAGGGCAGCACCATAAGCCTTAGGATTTTATGTCTCCCTGGTTCTTCCTAAAGAAACATTCTCCACAAGGGACTAAGGGGGAAAAAACTCTCCACAATGAACTATTGGGTGAGGTTTAGTCTTGCAGATTTTTCCCTCAGTCCCTTGTGGAGAGGGGCTCCCCACCACAGTTACTAAGTTACAGTGGAAAGGGTGGAACTTGCTAATTGACAGTCAGAAGCCCCACCCCTCTTGATCAGGGATTCTGGGTGGTGGTGGTGGTTGTTTTTTTTTTTAAACTAACAGGTTCCACAGCCCTGTGCTAACCAAAAATGGGCTGGCTGAGTTCTCAATTACCACCACTGAACCATGTAAGACAACAATTTGTATTTTACTCACCAAGCATTATATGCACCTCCACATTTAAAAACTCAGAACAATTTATGAGAGAAGCACAAACAAACAAAAAAGGTAAAAAACAACTGTCGTCACTTCCCAAAAAAAGCCCCCAAACTATAAAAGCAGCCCATAGCCATCACCTGGGCTGATCTAAATCAGTTGGAACAGGATTATTTCTACTAGGTAAAGCAAGCCCAAATCCTCAATGGACAAAGTATTCCATAATGTGGGGACTGCCATTGAGAAGGCATGCCTGCAGGTCCTCATTCCTTTCCCTTCACAAGAGGTGGGGACCCTCAGCCATCCCTCTCAAAATGAACACACAAGATAGCCTGAATCTGAGAGGGAGAGATGGTCCTGTAAGTATAAAAGTGGCAAGCCATATAGGGCTTTATAGATTAAAACCAGCCCCTTGAATTGAACTTGGAAGCCTATCAGCAATTATTGCAGTGACTAGAACATTGGTGTAATGCTACTAAATCTCTGCTCTCTCTTAGTAACTGTGTCACTGCATTTTCAGCATCTCCCAAGTCCTTTCCAAGACCAGTCCCATGTAAAATGCACTGTTGTTGTTGTTCAGTCATTAAGTCATGTCCGACTCTTTGTGACCCCATGAACCATATCGCACCAGGCCTTCCTGTCCTTCGCTGCCTCCCTGAGTTTGCTCAGCTTGCAGCTTGAGCAGTGCTGCATATCCCCCAAGTCACGAACCTGTTGCTTCAATGAGATTGCCACCTCATCTAGAGGTAACCTCAGAGCCAGATGAAACCTATCCAGTTCTGCATACCCATTTAGGAAGGAATAGAGCCATCAGAGAATGGTACTTCCAACACTCAACTCTTGCAGGTGGTCCAGAATAAAACCATAGTTGATGGTACTGAATACCAATGAGAGGCATAATAGGACTAGGTGGGTTACACTCCTATGATTCAGCAGAAATAGATAGTATCTGGGCTACAATAATTGTGGGGATTTCTCTTGTGTATGGTATCTCAGCTAAGTTGCTCTTCTCTAGTGTTACAGAGAGCAAACTAACTTAAGATGGTTTTAAAAATCCCCCTTTCTCTCTCCCATGCAAGAAAAAAAATACTAATTTATTGATAATATCCTTTAATTTTATCTTAGCCCTGTCATAGCACACCTTCTAATTAGACTCAAGTCACTTTTTCATTCACTGGGATGGTTTTATAGTAGTTGTCAAGTTCTAAGTGTGTATGAAGCCACAACCTCACTAAAGCTAATTCTGTTCAGTGCCTAAATAGGAATCCTAAAGAATCTATTTTGAGTTCCATCTTGTGAGAATGTCATATATATGCTAAACAACATTATAGTTATTTGATGCATATTTATGAGTTATAGAATAACTCATAGTTATCCCCTGCTTCAGTCAATTACATTTTAATAAAGATAATTAACTAAATACCTTTATTTTAAAAAATTAAAATAAACCTTACTTTTCGCTCTTCTTTGATAGCTTGTTTTCTAGCTTTCCGATCCTCCTTACTCTCATTCTTAGAACGTGGCTGTGTGGATACTCTTGGCAAGTCACAGTCATTAATCCTTTGCATATGCTCAGTCTGTTTAGCTGTAGGTCCTCTCTGAGGCAAAACATCTAGAGGGATTCCTGTCTTCTTAGACACTTCAATTGATTTAAGCTATAAAAAATACATAGAACTAGTGAATTTTTTAAAACAATGAGTTAAATAAATCAATGAAATCTGCAAAAGCCAAAATACTGAATCAGGTACTAAACCAAACAGAATGTTTAGGTGTCACTGGGGGAAAAAAATTAGTCCTTAGGTTAATTCATGCTTTATATGATATCTGTCTGTCTGTCTATCATAAATAAATAAATAAAATCCCCTCTTACCCTTATGGGTAGTATGTGTCTTCCTCAATCTCGGGTCCTCTACCAGAGACCCGGGAGTTGAGGGTTCTGTGCAGTATCTTAGCTGTTCCTAGCACTGCACTCTTCTGGAGCTATGATGTTGTTCCTGGGATCTGTTGGAGCCTCTCTCCCAGCTTAGGAGTCACAACCCTGAGTGTTCCTACCACCACTGGGACCACTTTGGCCTTTACTCTCCTCTCTAGGTCCTCCTTCAGGCCCTGGCACTTCTCCAGTTTCTCATACTCCTTCTTCTTGATGTTGCTGTCACTTGGCACTGATACATCTATCACCACCGCTGTCTTCTGGTCCTTGTCTATTATCACAATGTCTGGTTGACTGGCCTGTCCATCTGGATCTGGAAGTCCCACAGGATCTTAGCCCTGTTATTCTCCACGACCTTCTGTGGAATCTCACATCTGGACTTG